TATTTTTTCTTACAATTCCAACTCTTTCTATAAAAATTTATTTTATTCTTATTTTTTGACAGTTTTTTAATTGATTACTAATTTTATAATAAGTTTAAATTTATTTCATTTCAATTTTCAAATATATTCTCCAACAACGTATTAACTTAACAATGTTGTTAATAATTTTATTTTATCAAACTTCTTTTTTTATTTTTATTTTTTGGTTTAATAATTTCATTTTATTTGATTAAATTTCATTTCTTTTCAATTTTGTTCAAATACTAAGTAAATCTTGCAGCTTTTTATTAGTTTAATACACAAATTATTAGTATGGGGTTTTTTTCTCGCGCTCTACCTGAGTGCCGTTTCGCTTCTGATCGACTGAATGTATTGTGACTATCAAGTGAGCTTCAAAGCACCGCCAAACAATGCGAAATTTTCACTTGCCACATTTTCATACAACATTGCCGATGTTCGAATGCTTAGAAACAACAAATTCACAAAAATGTTTGTAAACATTCGATTCAGCACGATACGATTAAATTGTTATTGTTGTTGCTATTATTATTACGGCTATCGCCATTGTAGTATTTTAGTCAATTGTTACAATTACATGATGAAAATGTGTTTCGGTGTGTGTGTGTGAGTGCATGAAGCCGCCTTCGTAGACGCAAATGTGGCCAGCATCACCGATTCAGGGTCGTCATCATCTGTTTGCACCCAAACACATACATGCGTATCTATGTATGTGGGTGTGTGTGCTATGGTTAGCTGCCCATTTGCTGCGTTTGCTCAGCCGGCCAAAAGTGTCCGTCCGAACGAATAAATTTTCGCAAAGAAAAAACAGAAACAATAACAAAAACAAATAAATAAACAAATTGCGCGATTTACAGTTACAGAGGTTGCCAGTTGCATGTTGCACACTCTTTTCTCAACATTGGCATCTGCCAGCACACGTGCATTTGCTGGCATTTAAGTGTGTGTGTATGTACTTGTATGTATGTAGTTTCACATTTGGGAAGTTTTACTCATCCAACTGTTAACAATTGCAGATCACCGCCTATCACCGGGAAGGTTGAACGTTCTACTTTAAAACATATTCTTTGAAAACATACACATACATATGTAGATACTTGCATATTCGCCTGCATTTATTGAACAATATGTGCATATGTATACATAGTTTCAGCAAAATATCATAAAAGCAGCATTTTTTGTAAACCACCTGCCAAAGTTGCTGCATTTTCATATTTATGAGCATATTATTCGCTCAATAACTTTGAGATGCCACCACGCGCGCTATTTGTACACACACCCACACATTCATATATACAACTATTGAATATTGTGAGCTATAAATGCCAGTGTCTGTTCGTACGAAAAACGGAAACGGAAATGATAAGTGTCGGTAATTTGCAATTAGTATGGTATTTTGAAATATTTTTTTACGATTTCTCTGCTTATTCTACAAGTACAAGTTATTATTAAATACAATTATATCTCCTCTCTTCTCCCTATTTGAATATAACCGCAGAGCCATTCAGTATTTTCATATCAGAGTTTTAGAATTTGAAATTATTTGGACTTTTGTACCTATGTTTTCCCCTGGCATCAGTAAATTTTTGCAATCACCCTTTCAGAGTTAAAGCCTATGGGATTTCGATGTCTTCATCTCTCACATTTCTACATTATAGGAATTATATGATGATAAAAATGCTTTTATTGACTATAGGCCCTCGGATGGCATTACGAAATGTCTGAGTGTATTTTTGTCAATAAAACGCAACTCATATTGTGGTTATAGCGACATAAGCTGTAAGAGCATGCATCAGCTTCTTTGTAGAATATGATCAGATCATGCCCGACGTTTGAAATTTAAGTGTGCTCTGTCCAATCCACAAAAAGGAAGACCCCACAATCTGCGCCAACTACTGTTGGAAAATCTCCTCAACATCGCATATAAGGTTCTATGGAGCGTATTGTTTGAATCATTAAAGTTCACCGTCAACAAACTGATTGAATCTTTTCGGTGTGGTTTTAGGTCTGGAGACTCAACAACTGAGCAGACATTCACTAAGCGCCATTTCTTGGAAAAGACCCGTGAAAAGAAGATTGACACACCATCTCTTCGTCGATTTAAAAACTGCTTTTGACAGCACGAAAAGGAGTTGCCTTTATACCGCTATATATTAATTTGCAAAAAAAAAAAACTATGCAAAACTAATACGGTTCTGTAAACTGACGTTGAGCAACACCAAAAGCTCCGTCAGGATCAGGAAGGACCTCTCGGAGCCATTCGATATCAAATGAGGTTTCAGACAAGGCGACTCCCTATCGTACGACTTCTTTAATCTACTTCTGGAGAAAATAATTCGAGCAGCAGAGCTGAATTGAGAAAGTACAATCTGCTATAATATCCAGACAGGATAAGGAAGCGAAGCAAATGGATCTGGTACTGAACGAGGCCAAGACGAAATATCTCCAGGTTCCCACGTTGCTGTTGACAGTCATACCTTCGAAATTGTAGGTAATTTCATCTATCTTGGAATCAGTATTATCACCAACAACGATGTTTCCCGTACTGCTTTACATGATGAGCTGTACGAGATATACATACATACGTTGACATTGATATAGATAGATAGATAATGTTATTTGAGGTAATGCAACGCGACCTAGGGTCTATTGTGCCCTTGACATTGATATAGTACGAATTAAGTGACAGCGGCTACGCTGGCTGTGTCATGTCGTCCGAATGGATGACAAAACTCCAGCTCTGAAAGTATTCAGTGCAGTACTGGAACAAAGAAAGAGGAATACCTCCACTCCGTTGGAAAGATCAGAGGGTGAAGAACCTGGCTACACTTGGAATCTCCAATTCTAATTGTAAAAACACAACCAGCAAGGTTGAGTATCGTCAATGTGCTACACTCTCCAAGTACTAGTTTTTGCTATAAAACTTTTGGATTCTTCCCGAAAATAGTTGAAGGTCAACACGAGGCAAGTGCGCTTTCACTGCTACAGAGGCTGTCACGAAAAAATTATTGCATATGAAATGCCATTGCTGAGCCGAAAAATCATACAATCATAAAGTTTCTCCTATCTGCCCACAATTAAAAAACAATCCGGTATACATGAGCATGTATTTATTTATGTACACACGTATATGCTTTTGGCAGTGAAAGAAAAAAGTCGCCAGCCCGGACCTAGGCCAGGTGCCGCCGAAATTATTTGTATACACCCACAATTATGCGTGCCTAGGTACTTATAGAGTGTAAATATATACAATTCCTTTCCTTTGATCAGTGCTTGCTGCCAAAATAAACACCGCAGACTTTATTGCGTATGCAAATACCTGTGACTGTGCATGTGTGTAAGTGTGTAAGTGAACGGGATGCGCACCTGATAAGTGGCTCTTATAGAATAATCAAAACGGAAATTATTTACTCGAAACCATATACTTTTTCCAAGAAACTCAAGACAAACATACTATCCTACAAACATAGACCGTAAATTGTATGTGTGGAAAATTCTTTCTTCGTTTGAGTTTATTTAAAAGACATCAATTATAAATTAGAGTCAGAAAATTTTATAAATTTATAAGCGAAAAAGACTTAAATCTTACGTTTGTTGTCTTAAATCGTGTTTTAATAAAATAGAGCACATAGAATGCGAGTGATGTCGAAAAAATATAATAACTTATACGTTCCACCATAATTTAGACTAAAATCATGAAAAACATGTTAGCTCCGGTGCAGCCTAACACCCTTCTTAAGTACATTTCGTAAACTATGAAAGGGTATATGTTAAGTGAGGTTTGATGCCTGATCCAGAGATCGCACTTGGACTACAATTTGCCCTTTGTGAAATCATAAAAAAACAAAACTCCCGTAATTCGAACTTATCTATCAGCACACGCTTTGTGGTCAATAAGAATTTGGTAGAATATTTGAAAGTATGATTTCCCAAGTGATACAATCAAGAGGGAAGTGCTGAGATGTTTCCACATCGTCTGCTTTCATACAGCTTCTGCAGCTGGCATTTGATAACATTTTCAACCTATCAGTATGGACCCCGATGGAGCAATGGCCTGTAGGAACACCACATCTAGGGAGAGTATTTAGCCTTACTGAGAAATAAATCTCTTGCGATCAGTCTTGCGACTGATAAAAGCATATAAAAAGATCTAACTTGCTTTTGAAATAATAATAAATTTGTGTCAAATTTCGTGAAAATAATTGTCACATAAAAAAGTTTTCCATACAAAAGCTTAATTTTGAAGGTTTTGTTTGCATGACCGCGATATGCTATAGTGGACAAATGATCATATTCTTGGGGAGAAAAGAAGGATTACAAAATTTCATATCTATATGTCAAAAATTGATAGATTAGTTCGCATATATAGAGATAGACGGACAGATGTAGGAGTACGTGTCTAAATATGACACTGGTAGACACATAATTTGTGAGATGAAAATTCTTAGATGTTTCTAATGCAATAGAATAGTAATACCATGAAGTCAAATCTGTAAACAGAATTTTTCTATCACGCACAGATATTCTGTAACCAGCGGCTTTAAATTTTACAAGAATACTGTGATCAAATTGAAAGGTGAATTAATTGGAATTAATTTATATTTCGTCTGTTTTTGGAATCGGTAAATTTTTTTTTTTTTCTGTAAGTTGGTAATACATTAGTGCCATCTACGCTCAATTTCACGTCAAAATATTAATTAGTATTCACGATACGATCGTTTGGTGAGCCTCTAAAAGTGATTTCTTCGATTTTTTTTTTATAATTTTTATTTTTTTTTATTTTTTTTATTTTATAAAAGCTTACATAATAATACAATTATTATACAAACTTAAGAAAATACGCAGCACTAGCATCATGGGCTATCGGCCGATTTTTTATTATGTCTGAATTTATTGAACAAAGAATTTCGATAATGCACCATTTCATTTCGCCACATTTTCAACTAATATCGCGTCGTAACCACCGCATTCGCATCCGCGCAGTGGCCAGTACGTCAGGCACTCACTCCGTTACAAAAAAAAACGTTACCAGTGAACCTCTAATTGATCTCAAAAAGGTATTACTACCACCTTTGCATATTAAATTGGCTTTAATGAAGAATTTTGTTAAGGTAATGGACTGAAATGGGAGCGGTTTCTTGTCTCTGAAACGAAAATTTCCAACAGTCAGTGAAGCAAAAATTAAGGAGGGCATTTTTGTGGGTCCACAAATAAGACAACTAATGAAAGATCAAACATTTGAGGAAATGCTCAATGAGACTGAAATATGAGTCTGGAGAGATTTTAAAATCGTTTTTCTTGGAAATGTGAAAGCTGACAATTACAAAGATCTAAAAAAAATATTGGTTGCAACATGTCCCTTCAAATTCAATTTCCGAACTCCCATCTGGATTTTTTCCCC